CCAAGGGTAACCTTGTCTAGTATGTGAAGTACCTCTTGCTGCGCATATCTGCATACTTTAATTAGCCTTGATTATAATTGAATTTATTCATTTCCTTAGAGCTGAAGCCCTTTAATATTTCTGATGTTACTTGTTTTGCTGTTGATTTGAGAATTGAAAAGGAGCATTAAAAAAGCTGTAAGAAGATCCACATATTAGTTTAGAGTCATTATTCAATCCAGGTTTCTACTCACAATGAACGTATCTTAAGGATGTGGCTATTTTTTTAGCCAACATGTAAACACAGCATTACACTTCTAAGCATTTATCAGGGAAATTCCACCTATTTATTTATTTATTTATTTAGTTAGTGTAAATTTCTGCATAGTTACCGGCAACAGTGTAATTGTGAGATATACAGGCTTGCTGTAACAGCTGAGATTGAGCAGGACTTGTCTTTCTTTTCTCAAGCCTCGCAGTTTGTAAGCCATGTGTACACATTCTGTGTTTATCCCAAAGCCTTCCCAGAAAGCAGTTATTTTGCATTTATAGCAATATACATTCAGATCCTATGTTAGAGGTTAATATTTTAAAGAGAAATTCCACAATTAAAAAAATCCTGAATAATTCAATCATTCAGAGTGGTTTGACATGAAATCCATTACTGCAAAGAAACTCTCAAACTTGTTCACAGTGGTGGTGGTGGGAACCAGACATCTGAAGTGTTTAGTGCCTTTAAATTTCTCTCACATGAAGTTATCACATGAAATGGTTATGAATGCCTTGCATGATTGCTGAGACAGTTTTTTACACTAGATTTGAGATAAGGCTTTAACATGTTTTAAATACATTGATGGCGGGTGCTGTATACAGGGCTTTGTAAGACAAAAGAAAACTTATTTTTTAGAATTTATCATTATTTACCATTACCAACATTACTTATAAAACTCAGAAGACACTGTGGGTTCACTGGTTGTTTTGAATAGCAAACAAATGGCTGTATTTGCATTGTAGACACCATAACCCCTGGTTCCTGTCAGCACCACAGTAAAGAAACATGTTTCTGTACAATGCACCATTTCACACCAAAGCTTATTGAATGACTTTGTTCACATCTCAGTGAGTTAACTGTGCAGAAACTGGGGGAAAAACGGATGAAATTCCCATTTAGAAGTGTAAACCTGTGTTTTATATCTTGGCGATGACTAATTGTTCTGTGCCTCACAGCAGAATTAGTGTAACAGTAAGCGACCTACTGCAGCATCTAGCCAAGTAAGTGTTGTCATGGTGATGGCAACAATATGACAGTGGCGCACCTATTGGCTACTTATCCACTATAATGCATACATAACACAAATAGCACAGCAATGGTCCACATATGGATAAAAAGAACAACAGATTTCCACAATTGTTGCAGTTTTAGTGGCTTCATTATTAACAAGAGTGATTAATTAATAATAGCTTGCTGTAGCATTCTGCTTGAACTGCTTTGTGAATGGCAGTTCTCACTGGCAATTGTGATACGTAGCTCTTTAGCGAGAAGATCTTCAGTGCAGTCATGCTGTCGTTTCTAAAGCAAAGCGTCGATTTATAATATGCACTATGTCTGATGTCTCTCTATCTTTCTCTCATTTGTCTTTCTCTTTCGCACACGCGTAAAGACTCGCCCACACTATAAGAAGGTCATATTGGGGGTTGAGCTCGCTTTAATCTTCATAAAGCACCAGGATCGAATTACATACCAGTTACCACACGGGTCATGGCCATTAGCTCTCTCAATGTATGTGTGTGTGCAAGAGAGAGAGAGAGTTCTAGAATGTCTGAGTGTCGGTATGGGTGGGAATGTGTGTTGCAGCGTCTGTTCTCAGTGCTGTTTAAATATTGCTGCAATAATGAATGTGTCATAAATGATGCAGATTGTCTTTCATTATTTACATGTACTCATTGGTTATGCAGAATGTGTTTGGGTGAGTATAACTGATTGTTGGATGAGAGTGTGTGTGTTTTTGTTCCAAGAACCTGCTGTAAGCCTCTCTGTTGCTATGGGTAAACACAGAAGGCAGAAGGGCTTGATATGTTCGCTCTCACACATAAACACTCGAATCATCGTCTCCCCCTCATTTCATCTCGGCCGCCTTTAAATGAACTTTATTGGCAACGCGATAAATTCTGCGTACGCTACAAAAATAGGTCTAGTTTAGGCATTACAAAGCCACTGTCCTCTTTATCTTTCTCTTTTCCACCATCTCTCTTTTTATTCTCGCTCTTTCTCTTCCTCTCTGTCCCTCTTTTTAGACTTCACCTCTTTACTGTCCTTCATTCTGTCTCTGTGGTGTCCTTGCACATTTCCTTGCTCACTCTATCTCTTTCTGTCTAGCGTGGTCTTTTTCTGTCCCTCCCTCTTTCTCACCCTCCCTCTCACTCTCGCTCTCTCTCTCTCTCTCTCTCTCTCTGTTTCACTTTGTCGGTCTGCAGAGGAGTATTTGTGTCTGTGTGTGCGCACGGGAGTTATAGAGACTATTTTTCATTCAATGTGTGTAATTGCACAGACACTGAGGTTATCAACCAAGAGCAAACAGTATCCTATAAATACACAATCTGGAGAAATTACTGAAATGGTACAATAATACATACACGCGGGCCTGTTCCAGCAACAGACATCTCTTATTCGGATAACCCCATGGAAAACCCTGCGGAATTACTTGTAAAGCAAAGAATAGACAAAAATTAAAACCAACACGCTATCACTTTTTCTTTCCGCGTGCGCTTCAGAGTTAGGACAGTCTCAAACTTACTGGAAGCAAAGACTTATGCTATTACTATTACCACTACTGGGGATGGATCAATGCTATCTTTTTAGACAGAGTACGAGTACATATTTTTAGTACTTGCAAATACCACGTCCGATACAGTACAGAGTAACCTACTTAGAATTAAGTAGTTGTTAGTGTAAATGAGTGCAATGTACCAAAAAAAAATTACAATCATAATAAATAATTAAAATCAAGATAATTTTAAATGAAGTGTATTAGCTATGCTGTTAGTTATCTTGGATCGAGTAGTGCTGCAGTGGAGAAGAGCAGGTTTTGTCAGAAAAGCACTTCTATACAGCCGTGAGTAAAGTACGATTCATAGTTTTGCTCCTCCTACCTCTTTTTCAGTGACGGTCTCTGTAGCACAGTGACAGCAGGAATCACATCCGAGGCTAACACGTCTAAAGAGCTGATGTGTGGAGTCTGTGTCTTCCTGGAGTCTTTTGATTGGCTGATTGAACTGTACTGGGTTGTCCTGTGCAATTTTAGAAATCTTGTGCTTTGTTGACTCACGCTGTACGTTTAATTATACCATGTACAGTGTGTACAGTCAAAGCCTACGATCTATATACTCACACTGTACAAAAATGCTGACTGGCATGCTACATGAAACACAGCCTCTACAGACAGCTCTGTTAACAGACAATTATCAATAAAGCTATTTTATTCAAAATAACACATTGTGCACAGAGTACTGAGCAAACATGCAGAGGAACTGCGTTTGTTTATTAGCGTGGCAGGTGCACCCAGCCTACTTCACACAGTATCAGCTGGTATTCGGGATGTTGCTATCTGTGAATTTTTATGAGTACAAGTAAATGAGAGCTGTACTGGACTGAAACCTGAAACCCGTATCAATATCATTGCATCCCTAACTGCTACTATTATTATGCCTGGAATTACCTCTGATGATGCTTCCAGGAACATCACTGATGATGATCTCCCGAAACATCAGCAGATGCACTTGCAGAGACATTACTACTACTACTACTACTACTACCACTACTACTACTACTACTACTATTACTACTACTACTACTACTATTACTACTACTACTACTACTACTACTAATAATAATAATCATAATAATAATAATAATAGAAATAGCATTGCTTTTTTCCTCTGGTCATTTTGAGACAATTTGTATCTCTGAAGCAGGCATGGGAACAAACACGTTGTGCATTACATTGCGAGTTGAAGCTTAATCTTTGCCCAATAAAAGTACTTAATAAAACCATAGTACAATAAAGGTTATGTTTTTAATGCAATATAGTCTTTAATTGATCAACAAAATTAATCGAGTAATGAAGAATGAAGTGTCAAACGTCACACAAACTTTACTGTCCAATGCCGTGATGTCTGTAGCCGCTTAGCTTCCTCAGTTGTACAAGATGAGTGTTTTTACGAAGAACTGAAGCCGTTTGGTTTGATGTTTGGAACCTGATGCTGTGATCTGAGGATAACCTAAAATATATACCATACTGTAGGCGGTACAGATATGATATCTGCAAGTATAACCAGCACAGCTCAGCAGCCACATTTCTACAACTCACCTGTGCTAGGTGCAGTATACACCTGTATATGCATGCAAGTTTGGCACCCCTGGTGCAGTTTTACGTTTTGTTAATGTTCTAAGTGAAAATAGTTTAACATATCCTCTACAGAGAACACACTTCTGCACATTCTAATGCACAATTACTATTTATTTGTTTAATTTAACATATTAGGAACAATAACACCTAAAATGTTTCATGTACAGAAGTTATGGCACTTTTAGTATGATGTACTTTGTCCAGTATGTTAAATATGTTGGAGAATATAAATAGAAATTATGCACCAAAATTTACAGAAAATTGCCGTATTTAAATGTGTTCTCTGTAGAGGGTGTGTTTATTTTCATTTAGAAATAAAACAAAACATAATTTGACTAGGGGTGTTCAAACTTTTGCATACGACTGTATGAGATTTTAATGTAGGGGATCTAGCGTCTTGCTTTGCTCTGCATAAAATACTTCAGTAAATGAGCAGTTTTTTTGTGGTTTTAAACCATCACTGTTACTGTGGTAACTCTGTTAAACATCACTAGCCACAGGCCTACACACTCATACACACTGAATGTGAATTGCATTAAATTGCAATACTCAGACTGCTCTTTTCTGTCCATTCCCACCTTTCAGAGACTTAATTATTCAATCACAAATAACTCGTATCTTTATTTTTCAGTTTTATTTCATTATTTAGAATATCAAGTCAAGGTAACAATATTTACTTTGGCAAAATAAGATCAAACAGAAACATCATTATCAGGATGGCTATAATTATCGGTGAGCTCATTAATTTTCTTTTCTAGTCTCTTTTAAGCTCAGTGATAATCACAATCATCTTAATAACTAATAATCATGAAAGTGTTGCAACAAAATTGCACTTTTTTCCGGTTCTATTATCATTCATGAAAATCAAGAAAACAGAAGTTCATGGCAATGTCTCTTCTCTCTTTTTTTCTCTCTCTGCTGTCCTTGCTATAGCATGAATTCCTTCATGTACTGGATCTATGTCTCTGTGACTTCTATGTAATCTGAATGACTATGAGATTTGAATGAAGGACTCTGGGCACTGTTATAATGCCTCAGTCTCTGGTTTGTGAAAACACATTCTGGATGGTTATGGGTACATGGCGCATCCAGTGATGTCACAAAAGTAAACAAAAGGAGTGTTTCCTCTTCCATATTCACAACGCTAGCTGCTCTACACACACACACACACACACCGCATCCAATCCCCTTCCTCCTCAGTCAACATCCATTTATTGGTCTGTGTTCTAAATCTGTCCCGAATCATTTCATCATCATCCCAGCGCTGCATTTCACGCCCATGTCTGGTTCATGTTCCCTCCATTCTCCAACTCGCTGTAACACCAGCCCTCCGCCTGCCGGTGCCAGCTCTATCGAATGATCGTATCCCATTGATCGGGCATGACTCGGCATTTCCGTCCACCGCCCCTGGCTCCATGGTCTGGGTGACAGGATGGCTAATTGATCACCGATCCAATGCCATCACTCTCTGTCATTCGTTAGAAGTCATTTTCTGCTTAGGCTTTGTCCTGAAACAGGCTGCATACCTGCGCTTGTTTAGGTCTTCTGTTTACTCTTATTATAGGCTTTTTTTTCGGGAAAGATTGCATTTCTGTGTTTCAGAAATCCACTTTGGACGCATGTCTCGTGGGGTCCGTTTCTTATATCCACCAAGTGCGTGTTCTGACTCTGTGGTCCATTTGTCACAACCCTGGTTCCTGCCTCTGTTTCTTTCTGTCTTGCTTTCCTTCTCCTACCTCCCACTCCCCTCCTTGTATTCTTTTTTTTTTTCTTGTTTGTCTGCTCTCTCTTTTTCCCTCTCTCGTGACATCTTTTCTCCACCTCTCATCTCTCCACTCAACCTTTCGCTTAGGCCTTAACAGCTGCCTTCCCCCTGAGCTCACACACCCACGTATCACACCTCACCTCGCACTTCACCCGTTAACTCTCCCTCTTTCATCTCCTTCTTTCTGGCAGATCACGGTCACTCTCTTGCTCCTCCAGCCCTCCTTCTTCTCTCGCTCCTCTAGCCCTCCTTTTTTTCCTCTCTCTGTCTCTGTCTTTTTCATCTGCCTTTGTTTCTTTTTTCCAGCCTCTGCATTACAGCTCACCTCCCTCTCTGTCTTCACTTTCCCAAGCTCCTCTACATTCTTTTTCATTCTCCTTCTCTCTCTCTTGCACTTTCTCTTTTTTCAACTCTGTGTTCCTTTCTTCAGTCTATATGTCACAACTACCTACCTCTCCATCTACACCACACTTTCCTCCAGCTCCTCTCCTTTGTCCTTTTTGTTCTCCTTCTCTTTTTCCCTCTCTCGGTCTGCGCTGGTGGAGCTGGGGTTAGAGTTGGAGTTGGTGGTGTTGTAGGCGTGAATGTAACCGCGCTTGTGCCGCAGTTGCGAATCTCCACTGCTGCTGCTGGTTGTTGTGGAGGCGCTGGTGGTGGAGGCGCACTGGACCAGCATGCCATGCAGCGACTGGCTACGTTTGGTCCAGATGATGCTCAGCCGCTTGGCATAGCTATAACAGGTTGTGGTGGCCATGTTACCCATGTCAAAGGAAGAGCTGCGCTTGCGTCTTACAGCACCATGGACAGGGCTCTGGTAGGCCAAAGACGAATTCCATTTACTGTCTGTAATGCCTCGTCTTACGACCACTGCCCCGCCCGTACTGAATCGCCTGTCGCTTAAATCAGTGTTGTAGTGAGGGGGAGGTGCTAAGCTGAAGCTTGCCCTTTTTACTACGTCCCTGTTTATGGGTTGAAGTTTGCTCTGCCCAGCTACCAACTGGCGCGACTGGCGAGGCAGTGTAGACGGAGACGGGTTTTTAGGGCTGTAGTACATTGGCATTCGCTCCGTCTCTGGGGTATAAGGTGGAAGCGCCCTCTGTGACCCTACCCCTCCCTCAAGCCCTGCTTTTAGCTGGTCCATATTCACTTTGGGCTTGGGCAGTGTTTTGGGTTTCGGGGTTGGTGGTGGCTTGGGCGATGTTCCTGCCCCTGATGCTCCCCCTCTCTGTTTTTGAAGCAACCCGTTGGGTAAGACCACCATCATTACATCCCCGTTTCCATTACTCTGTGAAAAAACATTGGCTCCCTTGGCGGCAAGGGCCGGAGAGTCTGATCCTGAGCATCCAGCCTCGTCACCAATGTCTCTGTGGTCATCATGGTTGCTACAGACCCGATGACGAACCATCAGCGCCACAGTAAACACTAGTAATGTAACCACTACAACCCCTCCCACCAAGATGGTTAAAGTCCCACCCAGGAAATGGGCCTGAAGTGAACGGCAGTCTGGGTAGTTGTCCTTCGTGCTAAATTGAATGCAGCCTAGAACCTTTGTAGCAGCCATGGAGGTTACGGTGTCATCAAAAATGGCCAGAACACACAGATTGTAGTCTGCTCCAGACACAAGGTTCTTCAGAAGGAAGCTGTTACTCGTGGAGGGCAGGATTCTAAAGAGAGGGCGAGAAAGAGAGAGAGTGCAATAAAAGACTAAATTAGTGCTGAGATGCAGCAAAATGTCAGATAGGCAAAGAAAAGATGTTGACTGAAACGGGGAGGGAGGAAGGCTGGGAGGTAGAGGGGTGAATAGAGACTCAGTAGAGAGAGAGAGAGAGAAAATGATCCGATCAAGCTGAGTAGAATAGAATTATGAAAAGAAAGCACAGCTCCTAATGCCTAATAATTTAGCTGCTATCAGCCGAGGCTGGCTAGGAGAATAGAACACCTCCAGTGAGCAATACCTGAGAGAGAGTGAGTGATTAAGTGAATAAGCTGTAATAGAGAGAGAGACTTAGCGAAAGGTTGTTTCAGTGCAACAAGGAAACAGGGAGCACTGAATGTGAGTGTGCTTGCATGCATATGCATGGGTGTGTGTGTGTGTATCACTGAGTGTGGGTATGGCTTGAATGTGTGAGTGTATATTAGTAGGTGGGTGAATGTTGGTTTGGCGAGAGGTTGACAGGACGTTAGCCACTCTTTTGGGTTTAACAAGCTTTATGCTATATTGACTACTGTTGCTAGGTCAGACAAGCTTAAAGAACATTTTCTACTCTTGTTTGGTTGGACAAGCTTTACAGAATGTTTGCTACTATTGCTAGGTTAGGGCAAGCTATACAGACATGTTGTTGTTGTTGTTGCTTGGTAGGACAGGCTTTCTAGAATATTGGTTACTGTTTCTTGGTTAGCCAAGCTTTAAAGAATTTTGGCTATTGTTGCTAGGTTGGACAAGCTTTACAGAATGTTGCTTATTGTTTTCTCGGTTAGACATGCTTTACAAGTGTTTGTTACGCCCATTTCACACCAGACACGATGCGGCGTAATGTAAATGTCTGTATTGTCCATTTATTACTCATATAAACTTTATATAGATGACTTAGAGAGATCAGCAATAAAATCTTGAGTAACTGCTGTTGCTGGCTTTTTCACCAGGTGATGTAGCGCAATTTAAAGAGGAGGAGATGCATGCGGCTTCACAACATTAACCTACTCAAGGGATTTCAGTCAACCTGTCAATGAGTTTAAACTACATATGTTGATATGTTTCTTAGCCTTGTTTGTTAATTATAGCCTAGACATTGCATTTCTGTACTGTTTCTGCATAGAAACTGCTGGTATGCCGCGTGCAGCCTGCGTCAGAAATAGAACCAAAGCGTATTTTTTAAAAGCTTTACAGAATGCTTGTTACTGTTGACAGGTTGGACAAGCGTTACAAAACGTTGGCTACTGTTACTAGTTTGGGGCAAGCTTTACAGAATATTGGCTACTGTTGCTAGTTTGGACAAGCTTTATAGAGTGCTAGCTACTGTTGATGGGTTTGACAAGCTTTACAAAATGTTGCCTAATGTGTCTAGCTTGGACAAGCTGCACAGAATGCTGACGTCCGTTGATAGGTTTTACAAGTTTTATTGAACGTTGGCAAAAATCCCATTGAACCTATTGAAAAGCTTGTACAACTCACACACCTTTATATTGCATTATTATTTTCAAGTGCATTTTGCACTTGAATGTGTGTGTGTGTGTATGTTAGTAGGTGTGTGTGTGTGTGTTTGGCAAGTGTGTAGGTGAGTGTGTGTGACTGTATGTGTGTATTGGTGCTCTGTTTGTTCCCCTTAATGCTCCACTCTCTTCTACACAAAGCAGTGTGCTATTGTCACACAAATGCATAACGAACATAATAGGCACGTATGGGCAAATGATGCTGGCAAAAACACAACCCTACCATTCAGTACTTCTGCCACTGACACGTAATTGCAGGCTCTCAGCGAGACCTTGAGCCATTTAGAATCCCTTTTTAGTTGCAGTATTAACAACCCCCTCCCATGCCTCCTACACACTTTCTGTCTCTCACTTTCTCTCTTTCTCTTGCTCGCTCTCTCTCTTTTCCTTCTATCCCTATACTCCATGTGCCTTGATCAGTCAATTACTCTTTCGCTTCTAATTTCGCCCATGCTCCTATGCTCTGCATGCACTCTCTCTTTCAGCCTACGTGACCTTTCTGCCTTGTTCATTCTCTTCATCTCCCGTGCTCTAATTTCTCCACAGTTCTTTCCATGTATCTCTTTCTCCCTCTAATTTTCCATTTTTTCCATCTCTCTATCTAATTGTACACTTTTACTTCATTGTCTGCCCATCTCTTTTCATATCTGCCCCCTTTCCATTTCAGTCCTATTCTCTCTCCAGCCCTCTTTCTCTTCCATTCCCCTCTTTTCTCTCTCCTCTCCCGCCCTGTCTCTTTTTCTCTTGCTCTCTCACTCCCTCGCTCTGCCTGAGTAACTCTGCCATTGAGGTTGGGTTCTATTAAGTGTGGCTCGGCTGTAAATTATGAGTTAGTGGCCAAGGTCACCCAGCCTGTGCTCCAATGTTTTTTATATTTATGGATTCTCTGAGTTAATCTGCCCTTGTTGTGTTGTTTCAGTCTATGGAACAAAAAAGAGAAATACTATTAAATATACATGCACTCTCTGAATAGATTAATAAATCAATGGAAGCATACAGAGGGAGGTCAGTATAGTGGCTATATTGACAAATAGATATTGGCATGTGTATTTATTAGTGTAATGCTGGAAACATGTCCTTGGATATTCCAGTAACGCTTGCTTAGCCTGAACAATTTGGCATGCATAGTACAGATATGTCCTACTTGTAATGACATATGTACCGCAGGTTTGCGTGTCAGTTTATGATAAATTCCCCACATCTCAACGTAAGAGACAAAAACTGGCTTCTGTTGCAAGGTGGAAATTGAATATTGGCCTCTGCTGTTAGGTGAGATAAGTTTTCCAAAGGGTTGGCCACTGCTGCTAGGACAGACAGGCTCGGTTTGTTGGTTGGACAAGCCATATGGAACATTCTTGCAAGGTTGGGCAAGCTTTAGATTAAGAGGGATTACTATTATTGGTAAGTTGAACAAACTTTACAGAATGTTGGCTCCTGTTGCTAGATGGGGAAGACTGTAGTGAAATGTTGGTTTCTCTTGAAAGGACGGACAAGCTCTACAGAATATTAGTTAGGTTTTATAAGCTTAATAGAATATTGGCTACTTTTGGTAGGTTTACTTTTTACAATTCACAATTTATTGAAAATTGGCTGTTCCTGCTAGGTTGGAAAAGATTAAAGAATGTTGAACTAAAATCCTAATGATGCTAATCAACATGTACTCACAAAGTGTTTTTAAAGAAAATGCCTATATTTGCAGTGCATTATTCAAATTATATTTATTTTGCATCTTTGTGGAAAGTCACACTTCTAGGATGTATCAGATGTATAATGTAATCAAGAGTTTTATAAACATGTGGTTGACAGGCTCAGTTCATCAGTAGGGTGTCAGCTGTTGTGAAGTTGCTAGCAAGTTAACAGCATGTCGCAAATACTCAAAGTATGGGTTGCTATTTTGAGTGACAGAAAAGTAATATTAGTCTGTGTCTGCAATGGAGAGAGACAAACAGAAGCAGAAAGCAGAAGGGTAGGGTGTGAAGTGATAACAAAAATGTCACCGGATCTGACCTAACAGCGTGATCTACCACACAGAAAAAAATCATAATGCATTCGAAATGGGTATTTACACAAGAAATTAGTTGTGCACTACATTTACTTGTTAGATTGAAAGGGATTGTTTTCCCAGTGGTCTTTAAAGATTGTCCACCCAAGCAACAGTGATTATAAAAGGACACATTTGTAGGTCAGTTGACTGTCAAATGCTCTGGACAGTATTAGTAACGAAAGGAAAAAATATATATTGGTCTGTGTGTGATATAAGGGTATAAACCTTGCAAACATTCCCTTGGAATAACCATGCATAATTTATCTTTTCCTTTTATATTTACTTTGATCTGATTTATTTTTATGTTTCCTTTTATGTGCTTTCAAGGTAAGCATTACCTTCCTGCATTTCTGTTTAGTGTTTTGCATACAGTATCTTGGCCAGCGGTAGGACAACTATAGCAGCAAGCAAGGCCACACAAAGGAGAGTGTGACAGCCTCATAAATTACCTTGTGTGTTACTAAGAGCCATGTGATTCCTCCTCTAGAAAATAAACATTTATATTGATGAATAAAAGTTTTACTGACCACAACAAAAGCCTCCGAAATGCATGTTTGAAGTGTACGGTTGTGTAGTGGCATGCGTCTTGTTGCAAATGCTGACAGGCAGGCGTCAAAAGGAAAAAGAACAGTAGCATATTTGTATGCGCTGTTTAATCTTTCAGGAGCACAAAAACAAAAGCGAGTTGAGAAGCAAATTGAAATGGGAGAAAGATAAAAACCTCAATGACTAAATGAAGTGCAACTCAGTAGCCAAAATGCTCTGACAGACGAATGCATTTCAGTGGTATCAGGCGAGCGCAGCAGGGAATTGCAGAAACTCAGTCCGTTGTCTTTGGACCCCGACACCTGTCAGCCTAAACAGCGCAGAAAGATTTGCCTTAGTTTAATATGCTGCAGACATGATTACTGCTTGAAAAGTCTGTCTTCCAGATGAAACAGGTGTGAAACATTTTAATTGTGCAGTTTTCCCCCAGCTGTTGTGAATGGCAGTTATTAATCTATTACCAGCCTGCGTTTGAATGCTCCACTGAAATTAGTAGAAGGGGCTGGGGGCAGAATTTCAATTTCCATACCTCCTCTAAAACAGTGTCTTTTAGCCCGGAACACATGTTCTGTCAGCTCCAAATCACATCTAAGAGGGTACAGCTACAGATGTTGGAGGTAAGTACATTTGGCAGGTAAAAGGATGGGTGTCTGTGTGTAGGTGGTAAATCAATGTTAACAACAAAGACAGAGTCATTGGCAGGCAGATGTGCTTTGGCAGGTATCATAGTGTAGACTATATTATAGTACATAACCTGAAGAACTTTGGCAGTCGGCTCATGCCTTATCTGCACGTATACAGATGACATTTTTTTCTATGTTTTTTCTCCCATCTACTTGAAAAATGGCACTTTAGGTCACTAATAATGGAGCGTTTGGAAAACACTCAACAGGGTGGGGATTTTTTACGGTGGCCATAGAGTGGAAAAACAAATTTTCCTCCCTTTTTTTGAAATAAAAGTTACAAAAAAAAGTAGTATTTTAATTGTTGATATTGAAGTGTACTACTCACTCCTCAGTTCATAGGGTTCATATGTTGGTACTGTAGCAGCATGTTTTTTTAATTCTTTTTTTTTTTTGTGATGTCACAAAAAATAAAGCATTTCCAAATATCCGCCTATTCAGCCCTCAACACTTTCGCCCCACTCCTTCACATCAGAGTTATTTAGGAGTGTTTCAGCCTGAACTGCTTTTTGAGTGAGGCATAGTACATGGCAGTCCATCAGTACAGAGGTCTTTTACATATATCAGTCTTAACAACAACAGCCTGTTTCATTTTAAGTGATAGAGTGGTTGGAAAGTAGTCATAAAAATGAATTGTCGCTGTTTTTTGGTACATAACACAGCAAAAATATTATAAGTGGACCACGGGGGAATAATAGAATAGGCCTACAAGTAGAATGCAGGATATGGCCAGCATTTTATATCCTGCATATAACTCAATTTTGTATATTTTTGTTAGTGAGTAATACGAGTCTTTTTAAACACATCGACATCTGGACATCAAACTGCACATGGTTATTTTTGTTTTGTTGTGTGGAGCATACTTCTGGCTACGGACTACCCACATAAATCTTTTCTTTATGATTAGTTATATCAGGTTTGCTCGCATGTTTACTTAGCTTAATCATTACATGGTCATCCACCCAATGTCAGCTGGGATAGGCTCCAGCATGCCCCCGCGACCCAGAAGAATAAGCGGTTTAGATGATGTGATTACATGGTCAGTCAACATATATGTTTTTGTCGTTAATTGTTTTCCTAATACTTGTATACATCGTCGTAGGTTTGTTTTTGCAACATGCCGTCACTCCCTCCCTACAGCTTCGTCCTCTGAATGTTGTGCAGTACACTTTGCTGTAGTGTTCTTACAGTGGGATTTAACATTACCTGTTATGATATCACCTCTACCTAGGCTAGCGTGAGCAGAATTGTTTGTGTTCTTGTGTGAGGGGAAAATGGAGAAAAAAAACATTAAATATGTGCATTAAATGTCTATGTCCAGGCCTCCGAGTATTTAAAAGATTGGAAATGTGACTCTATACATTGAGTAGATACATTGGATGGATTTTTTCCCCCCTGAAATAGTGTGCTGGTACTCTAATCAGATGTGGCACTCATGGCTCTGTACTTTGGAATAAGAGTCTGACCTTTTCTTCTAGTGCCCCTCATTGTGTGTGTGTGTGTGTATGTGTGTGTGCACACGAACTTGCTTTGATGTACCTGTGCAGTGTGCAGTCACAGCAGCTGCATACACAGGCACATACATACACACACACTCTCGTAGTGTAGTCAAACTGACAGGGGAGTGTCACAGAGCTGGTGACACAGAAACAGGCAATTATTAGGACCCCAGAGAGGAAGAGAGAGAAATAGAAGAGAGGAATAAAGTGGGTGAGGTAGGGTGAGAATTCTTGTCTATTTTTTCCTTCACTTTTTTCATTCACACATTCGTGACCCCTTTAATATCACTCTGCTCTTCTAATATTAACCCTGCCTTCACCCATCACATTCTGCTCCTGTCTGTCTGTTCATATGTACAGTTTAGAGACCCCTGGCCATTGTTAATTTTCTAATTGCAGATATGTTAACGCATCTGTCTGTCTCTGTGTCCGTCTGTCTGTGTGTAGACTTGTTGATTTTCTAACTGCAAATACATTAAATGCATCTCTCGGTATGTTTGTCTGTCTCTGTCTGTCGTCTTATGCAACAGTCTGGGTATCCCTGGTCACTGTTGATTTTACAATTGCAAAAGTGTTAACACATCCATGACAGAGACCAAGTAAATATGGCATTTTCCTAAAGTATTTCTATTTATTTGCAGAATGTGGCATACTGGGGGAAAAACCTTTTGTTTTATTTTTGTCCAATATGTTAAATTCAGCAAACACACCATAATTGTGCATTGAAATGTGTAGATGTGTTTCCTGTACATGATATGTTGACTTATTATGTTGACAAACGTCGTTTGGCCAAGGGTGCTGAAATTTTTGCGTATGACTTTGCGTTGTGTGTGTGTGTGTGTGTGTGTGTATATGTATGTGTATATATATATATATATATATATATATATATATATATATATATATATACGCGCACACACACAAATATACAAACACTATATAGACAAAAGTATTGGGACACCCCCTGCTAATTATTGAGTTCAGATTTTTCAGCCACACTCATTGCTAACAGGTGGATCAAATTAAGCACATAGACTTGCAGTCTCTATAGATAAACACTGGCAGTACGCTGGGTCGTACTGATGAGCTTAGCGACTTTAAACATGACACTGTCATAGGATCCCACCTCTGTCACAAGTCAGTTTGTGAAAGTTCTGTCCTGCTAGATCTGCCCCTGTCAACTGTAAGTGCTATTATTGTGAAATGGAAGCACCTAGGAGCAAAAACAGGTCGCCACCAAGTGGTAGACCACACAAACTTACAGACTGGCGCCGGGTGCTAAAGCGCACAGTGCCAATCCTCTATTGAATCACTCATTAAAAGAGTTTCAAATTGCCTCTAAAGGCAACATCAGCAAAAAACTGTGCATCATGTGTGGAAGAACTTGACTGGCCCACACAGAACCCTGACCCTCAACCCCATCAAACATCTTTGGGATGAACTAGAACAGAGATTGCGAGCCAGGCCTTCTCGTCCAATATCAGTGTCTGACCTCACAACTGCTCTCCTGAATGGGCAAAAGTTTCCACAGACACACTCCAAAATTTTGTAGAAAGCTTCCAAAAAGAGTGGAAGCTGTTATAGCTGCAGAGGGGGGCCACCTCCATATTAATGCCTATGGATTTAGAAAACCTCCTGTAGGTGTCATGTGTAGGTGTCCCAGTACTTTTGTCCATGTAGTGTATATGTAAGTATCTGTCTGCTTATCTATTAACACTCACATAAGTGATGCATTACTTGATTAGCTTCATTTAATGTGTATCATTTCCACATGAATAAAACATATTACATCAACGCAATTTCCAAAATGAAATCATCAAAGCTGTGTTGATGTAGTATAATTTATTCATATAGAAATTGTGTACACATTTGAATTGAGTAAATTCAGTGTAACTACTGATCTAATTTATCCTTGACAAAGCTTCAGATTCTTACAGAAACAAACCTCAGTGAAAATTTGCTGAAGACTGCAGGCAGGATTAGAGAAGGATCAGACCATTCATTATGTTTCATGTGTGACATTTGTCCACATTTTCCTTTTTTTATGTGATGTCTTACGAACACTTTGTGGGACTAGGCTCATGTTTATTGCATGAACACTGAAGCAACTTGTTCCTGATAAGTTTCTGCCATCAAACATAATCCCTCTCTCACTCTGTCTCTTTGCCTCTCTCTCTTTTCGTCTCTCTTCTTCTGTCTTCTTCTCTCTTTCTATCCCTCCCTTGTCAGTAGGATAGGTTGTGACACACTTATTGGTTGTGCACTTTAAGCTCATTTAAAGACTTCATTATTCTGCCCCTGGAGCCTTCTGTCAAAGTCTCTTTTCATATCTCTCTGTTTTTGTCCCTCCCTCAGTCTTTATCCCTTCTTCCCCTGCTCTGTCTTGGCCTTCCTGTCACTTACAGTGTCTGTAATGGCAAGCTCTCATAATTCCCACCACCCCTCCCAGTGAGAGATGGACAGGCTGTATGTGTGTGTGTGTGTGTGTGTGTGAGCTCCCATTGATAATGTCTCCTAGGGGTGTGAGAATATATTGAAAATGTTCAGAAAATGTCTGACAGCAGCCAGGCTGAGTCTATTGCTGAAGCCTATAACGAGACAGATAATTTAAGAATGTAGTAGAAGTGCCTCTCTCTCAAATTTAACATCCAGCTCAGGGCAACCTGGAGGTGACTTGACAAGAATAAGACTAAACCTCTGCAGCTACATTAATGTAACATTACAAGATGTCAGGGGGCATATATGTGACCGCATAAATATGCTGTGGTAGAACATGCCACACTGCAGGCTGCAGTGCCTTGATGTGCTTTCTAGCTACTAAAATAGTTTTTTTTTTTTTATGTTTGAGACTCGAGGTACCATAGATACCTGCCAGTAAATGCCAATTAAACAAGTCATCTTTTGAAAGATTATATATTTTTTTATATTTCTTCTTTCAAGAAGGTCCCTTCCTTTGTTTTTTCTGCATATATAACATAGTGCAGTCACTCACAGTTTAACTGAGGTATTAAAAGCCATTAAGAATTGGCTAAATTTAGTGCTGTTTCAGTATTGATATCAGAATAAAGCTTTTTTTAAATTACAGACAGACCATTCTGACAACTATGTCTTTAGAACTATGTATGTGTTTCACATATTATTGCAAGTGAGTTTGGTCAGTTATTTGTATCTAATACAATCAGACCAATTACTTGTAGGCTGCCTAATGCAAACAGGCGTGTAAAGTTTATCAGACATTGTCTTACTGGCAATACATGCTGTTGTTAATTCTAACCCTTTATGAGTTTCACTCACCGGTACACCAGGGTCTCATCCGCAGTGCAGTTGTACTGTATCTGGTACATCCAAATCAGGTATGCTCCTGACAGTTGACCAATATCCCACCGCACTTGTGCTGAGGTGGAGGTCACTCCCTGCACCTCCACAAGCTGATCTTCTCCTCCCTCACTCCCTCCATCCTCTGGCTCCATCTCTACATCCTCTCTAACTTCTTTTGCGTCAGCATTAGTGTCCTGGCTGGGACTCTGCCCGTTGGATGTCTTCCCTCGCGTTATATCTGATGACCCTGGATCACGGGCTAAAGGTACTGTTCCGTTCCCTCGGTGCGGAAGAGGAATTACCTTGAGGTCGATTATTGCAGTGGCCTCACCTGCAGCATTGATTGCAATGCAGGTGTAGGCACCGTCATCACGCGCCACAGTCACTAGGAGCTCAAGTGTCCCGTTCCGAAATGATGTAGTACGGCTTGAATTGGCAATAATCCGGTCATCAGGTGAGACCCAGTGCACCACTGGCTCAGGGTCTCCAATAGCACGGCATTTAAGCGTTGCCCTTTGGCCCTCTAACACCCAGAGTTTGTGTGTATGGCGAGTGATAAGTGGAGGCTCACAGGTGAATTCTTCCTCAGGTATTGACCAGAAGTAACGTCCTGCCAGATGAATCGGTGTGGCGCAAGTCTCCATATCGTCACTCCGAATCAACCTTCGCAACCAGAGAAGCTCACAGTTACAGTGCAAGGGATTTCCCCCAAAGTTCAAACTGACTACTGCATTGTATGGTGTGGGGCTGATTACCCCTGTCTGGGATCTCGCAAACAAGGGATCAGGTGGTAGAGTCTGAAGGCGATTTGAGGTCATGTCTAACCGAGCAAGTTTATAGAGCTCGCTGAAGGAACCCTCAGCAATCTGGTCAATGAGGTTGTGGTCGAGGTTGAGTGTGTGCAAGCTGGCCATGTTCTGGATGGCATCCCATGGTGCTTTGCGCAGATTGTTGTAAGACAGGTCCAGGTCTTCCAGTGTGAGCAGGAAGTCATCAAAGGCATCAGAAGAGATGTTGATAAGCTGGTTGTTGTTTAGAATGAGGTGCTGCAGGTTCAGCATGCCCGCTAAGTCTCTTGGACCAAGTGACATGAGCCGATTCCCATCCAGGTGCAAGGAGCGGAGACTCTCGAGGTCTGCAAATGCCATCGGTTTGATGAAGCTGATGGTGTTTCGGGATAGTGTCAGATCTACCAGTCCTGTCATGTTGGCAAAGTCTGCACCTCCCACCTCTCGGATGAAGTTGTCAGCAAGGCGGAGCTCGACGGTTCGACGATCAATGTTTGGTGGGACAAAGAGGAGACCTTTGTCCGCGCAGAGCGTGCTCAGAGATTCTGATAAATTCCGGCACACGCAGTGGAAGGGACATGCGGAGACCACCCCCCACGTCTCCCCAGCAAGTGCTCCAGGAATCCGTCCTATCAGAGCTGGCAGGAAGCAGGCACACGTGACTAGTGTGAACCAGTGGAGGGATGGTAGAGGTGGGGATGGGGGTGATGTAGAGGGGGCCAGGTAGCCGTAGGTGTACTTTGGGCACAGAGAAGATGATGGTGGGAGCTTTTGTGAGGGCTTGAGGAGGGGTGGTTGAGAATGGATTGATGGATGAAGGGGAAGAGTAGAGGAATGTGTGTTACGCAGATGATGTCGTAAAATGAGGGGCGGGTGTGATTTTTCTGACTGGGGGGTTGGGGAGTCTTGCATGGTAGAAAGGGGGTTTATCCACAGACCTAGAGAATAAAAAAAGAGAGAAAAGGATTTAGACACCACGTCCTCTATCATTTTCCCATACTATTTGCTCTAATGTTTCCTTTCTTATCTGACTTAAGCTTTAGAGCAAAGAATTGCTTTCTTCATAACCCTTGTAGGCTGTGCGTGCATGCATGCATGTATCATTTGTTTCACACTGAGGCCATTGCTTGCTGTAGTGTAGAAAAGTGCTTGCACACTCTGAAAGCTACACACTAAATTCTCAGCATGGCCACTATGTGCTTTATCGTGTGTGAAATTCCTTTATAGCACGATAGCACCTGTAGCCATCTATGGAGCCTTAGCCCTTTCCCAAATGTACATCCCACACTGGTGGAAAAAGTGGCCTAACCGCAACCCAGATAACCAGAATCAACTCAAACCACCACCGCAGTGAGTCATCAGCACTGATAGACTGGCCACAGTGACCTCTCCAGAGGATCTAAGCAAAATAGTTACTGTACCACAAATCCATACAGTTACTGTAATGTGGATACTTGAATGCTTGCTGGAAGCTTCAAGTCAATGCATGAACAAAACATGTTTGAGTGCTATAGCATGCCTTTGTGCCACTCAAAAGAAAAACTCAGCAGAGGACCATTTAATGTTGAATGAGTTTAATTATTGGTATTAAGTAAAAGTTTCTAATAAAGATCGTTGTTCTAATAAAAATTGATAAACCACAAAAGATTGAAGAGAATGTCAAGTTCTGACTGAAATGGATCTATACTCCTTAATTAGTATATGCTGCATGGGGGAACTATGTAGTTTACTAAATAGTAGTAGAAACATAGTAATTAATAAATTTGGACACTTTATCAACAAAGTCCATCAGTATTCACTAGTTGCAAAAAAAAAGCTTTAGTGAGGCTAAAAGCTAAATTATTTTTAATTAATGTTAATGTTACTCTGTCCTTTGCTTAGTAACAGGAGACTAGCAATGCCCTTGTTATATATTCAGCTGATGTAGTGATCTCCATTGTTCACTAGAAACCACATGCGGAGATTGTAGTGCCCTTCGGAATCACTGTAGAATTCCATTTTGCGATTCAGGCACTAGATTGGATGTAACTTGGAGGGTAGTAGTGTATCCAGAATGCTTAATTTGCTGCTGTCATTACTCTTTGGGTCATTTGGAAGCATGAAGCTTCAGAAATAATTTGAATCTTGCAAGAAGGACAGTCTGTTAGGATGTGTACTTTCTTTCCTTTTCATGTTTAAATGGTTGCATCTTCAGAGAGTCCTCTAAAAGCCCTCCTCCCAGTCTAAGCAGTGACTCATTAAATAGACAGTCATAGCTAACAGTCAAAAGAGTGAGATAACAAAGATAAAGTAGGCAGAAATGAGAAACCAGTGACGAAAATGAAGCCTAAGAACATCATGAAGGTGGACATGCTGTTCTTGCATATGTTAGCTAATTACATCTAAAACCTCCACAATGAAGCCTCCACAAGACGATTTCAGACCAAAACCTCTGTAATCTCAGCCAAGTCAGGTAAACATTTTGTTGGTTTCATGGTGTAAAACATGACCTATGAATAAAAAAAGGAAAGACACTGGATGTGTGAAGTACATTAAGAGGTTTATCCTGCATTAACGTGTCTAGCTAATGCTCTCGTGTAGCATCACTTAGTGCTAAGTGCATGTAATCAGCCAGGTACGGTTAAGAAAGCATTAAACAGAGTCAGCACAAAGTGCATTTGTCAAAATCTGTGCAAATATGGGATGCCCTTTTGAAATGAACAAACTTATAAGTAATAGTATATGGTTAGATTAACACTACGTAGATATTTATTAAGTACTGTCAGTATTACAATATACTGTTTAAAACATAGCTCAGTGTTACTGTATTTGCACAGACATTTGTGATGGATTTTTGATGTCTCTGAACATTTTTATTCTGTTCTGTTGGTGAAAGCCCCTGAACTGCTTTGCTATGGTACACACCTTACTTTTGAACTTTATCATTCCATTAGATGAGAAGTACCTCATGGACCTGGCTTGTTACTCACTCACTCACGTTTAGCAGGCTGTACATTCTCCGCAAGAGAGGGAGCTATAAGCTCTCTAGAGTATGGGTTCCTTGCCCATGTGTGTCTGTTCATGCCAAGACACACACGCAGAGGTAGTGTTTGTCCTGAGACTCATCAAATATTTTGTGAATTGAAATAAAAAGACAAATTTGTTAAACAAGCCTTTGAGTCATTATGCTTTTACCCACTGGGGTCTGAAGGCATTTTCTCAATTTTGGCATATCTTCTTAAATTTGCCTTTAAAAACATTTGCATATAACATGATAGCCATATGTTTCATAGCAGAATGCTCTGCTATCTTTGTTGCTACTTTCCAAAACTGCTGCAGCAACTTGAACGAATGTAAACTTTTTGTACGCCATTTCATGTGTGTCTCCAATGTGACTGAATGAAGAATGAAAGGTTTCTGATGTGATGGGTCCTTAGTGATTTCTGTGGTGTCCGTTGGTCAGTTTCTCACAAAATGTAGATGGACACATGATTCAAACCCTTATTCACAACCTTATGACTCTGATGTGAGTCACATATGATCTTGTGATAAGATGGAATGGAAAGGGCGGCTCTACAGGTTCAGGAATTCTTTGAACCGTATTTCTGCGCTGTGTTATTGCGATGATAGAGAAACATCTAATATATAGAAACATCTAATTTGATACACATCTGCATTCGTGGACCCTAGAGAGTTAAATCAACAAGCACAATGGTATACCAGTATAAAATAATGAAATATGTGTAGGTGTATGCTACTGCATATTTAGTGTGATTGTGAAATACAAAAATGATAAAATAATAAACTATAATAAATAAAGAAATTTGTCCAGATGCAGCCACAAGGCCCACTTGCCCCGACACTGCAACCCACCAGTGGGTCATTACCCTAAGTTTGAAAACCACTACTCCAGGGGTTTAAAAGTCCACTGTACTTCAATCATTGTACTTAAGTGACACTGCTTGTTGGTGATTTAGACCAAAAGTATTCCAGAATGAGAAGAATAGCACCTAACAAACCTCAGTTCCTATTTTAATGCACATTGGATGTACTAAGAAGTGTCACTGCTGCCCAGCCATGTTCTTTACTCCTATTCAGAATGTATTTTTCTAGGTTACCTTTTGTCAATGTCATAACCTCCTCTCCAAATAGTAACGTTTCAGGAAAGATAAAGTTCTTAACTTTGATGCACATTAAAGAGTATTTCATCCCAAACCATCTGTTCATCCATTAGAAATATTCACACATGGTGAAGTGTAAGAAAGCAAAAACAGAAGAAATAAGTTTGAGATCACAGCCATGTTTTTTACTTCTAATCAAGTCATTATTTCAGTAAAGTAAGAAAACTTCTGCTTGAGTATGGTTTTAGGGAATCTATCCACCTCTGTACACGCATAAGCCTATTACTGCGTAAGATAACAGGGAGAAAGAGACGGGCTGGCCGAGAGACATGGAGAGATTAAAGGAAAGCGAAACGAGTGTAATCAGACAGTCTCTCTCTCTCAGGTATCTCTTCTGTCTCATTTTTTTTCCATTCTCCTCATGTCTGACTTTGCATTGATGCACTGCCCTCCATGACCTTCCCCTCCTCTTCCTCCTCCTTCGGCTCCTCCTTTCCTCTCACTCTTTCGCTGTATTGTTCTGCTTATCTCGCACAGCTTTTCCCCCATCTGCCCTTGAGGTAACCTGAGAAGCAATTAAACATTACTTAAAACGGCCCGCCCCTTCTCTGATCTTTTCTTTGCCCTCGCTCTCTCTAAGTGTAAGTCATCTCAGTGCTGAACAGCTGAAACAGCTCTTGTCTTTCTCTCCTTTGCTCCATCGATCCAGCCTGCCAAGATAAATAGCACACCTTCTTCTACATTCTCATTTCTCTTCCTCCTCCCCATCCTCTTCCTCTGCTTACTCCACCCTTATACTTCTTTACTGGTTTTGCTTTCTTGTGTTTTTTTACATTTTGCTATGAGTAGTTCAAGTTGAGCTGCTTTATTCATCTACGCTGTTTGGACACTCAGGGAGTATGAGTATGTTTACAGGGGAATCTGATGGGTGGGTGTGTGATTTGTGGAAGGAGGAGGGCTGGCAGGGCATGAACTGAAGGCAAAAACTGTGGTAATTCTTCTGTAATCCAAAATGTTATGCATAATTCAGACTGAAAATAACTAGCGTGATTACAGAATGCTCAATGTGTTTGTGTGTGTGTGTGCGTGCGCGCACATGCACGTGAGGCCACTTAGCATCTAATGTAGTGTCTGAATGTCCAGCCGGGCAGTTGGAACATCTTTCTGCACTTAGCAAATCCCCAGTCTCACATACACACTTTGGTGTTGAGAATCTTTTAGAATGCACTTAGTATCCCCTACAGCACTGCCACACTCAAGCCCACCTCTCTCTCCTCTCTCTCTCTCTCTCTCTCTTACTCTCAATCTCTCTCTCCCTCTCTCACATACACACACACACACACACACACACACACTCAGTTGTGACAACATGGGACTAAAAGCTGGTTCCTCTGAGTCCACGGTGGAACAGTAGACTCGTATGAACCGTGCAGTGATTTGTCTCTGTATGAGTGGTATAAAGCAGGACTGAGTGCAGAGGGAAGGTAATACTGTGATATATAGAAAACAGAGTTGAGTGGACTTCAGTGGCAGCACCTTTTTGCAAGCATTTCTGCCACTGCAGCCTGGGACTGCTGGGGGCCGGTGGGCTACCCGCACTTTAAATTCTGCTCCTCTGTTGTGCGTGCACACAGGGCCAGAACTTTAACCTCACTGCCTGATCTTTGGCTTCCACACTCGCTGAAGATGAAAGAACGGAATAGAGGGCAAGGCCCACTAGTGAGGCCGTAGCCTTTTATTTGTTCAGCTTATTATTTCTGTGCTTATTGAATTAATTCCTGTTTTATCCTCCGCTGTTTTATATTTTGACTAAGTGGGATATGGTGTGTGTGTGTGCGCGCGCAGCGCGATGAATTAAACGCAGTGAGGAATTCTCCTGGAAATTCTCATTTAGATTTGATATGAATAGATTTTGACATGATGTTTATCACTGTTACCTGTTTATTGGTAGAACTGATGCATTTTTCCGCTACCATTTTACTGTGCACCTCACACTGGAATTCTTCATTAGTAGAAAGACTGAAAATCGAAATGAATTTGATAACGCTTGGGATAACTTTGGGAGGAGCTTATTCAAATGATCACTGTGTTGTCGTCTTCGTGTTGTAGTGATAAAGTATCACGCAAATACCACAGTATCTGTCATGTATGGTGTGCTGATATTACAGTTTACGCTGGGTTCATTAAGTTTAGATTATTAAGGTTAATGAACCCAGTCTTCCTGAATACTCCGTGCCAGTAGTTCTCAAACTGGTCCTCAGGGACCCCGAGACGGTCCACATTTTTGCTATATCATTGTGTTGAGTTGGTTTGGAGCAAAAATGTGGACCCTTTGGGGGTCCCTAAAGACTCGTTTGAGAACCACTGCTCTGTGCTAAAAGAATATCATTCAGACCTGACAGCTTGACTGAACTGTTTTCTTCTGTTTTTCTCTTAAAACTACCAGATGGAACATTACACTGTATTTTAAGCGTTAAACAAACAGAAAACAGATTTCCAGAAAGGAAACTTACTACATTTGATGCATTTTAAACTGTTCTTTCAAACCAGACTGAAGCACCCGACAAATTATTTAGACAGTCGTGCACAAAAGTTTGGGCACTCCCGGTCAGCAGTTAACTAATTTACTTTTATATATCAGTATCCCTAAAACTAAAAAAACAGCTCTGCTCTGTGACACCTACATCGTTGACACATATCGACCAGCACTGTTCAGCCACATGTATTTAAGCAGCCGCCAGCCTCACACACTGGCTATTTTTCTTTCGCCTGCCTCCCCTCCATCTCCTTTATTCCTACAAAATTACGCTCTCTGTCTTTAAAGACTAGGAGATTTCATTTATTCACATCATACTTCACCGCTTTATACTGGGGGGAAAAAGGAACACTTTAAATTTGCTTGACTGAAATGTGTACATTGTATCCACATGAATATACTACATTAGGTCAGCACCACATTACATCAGCACAACATAACAAAATGAAGCCACCTGAAAGACAAAGCTGTGTTGATGTAATATATTTTATTCATGTGGAAATGATGCACAGATTAGAATCAAATCAGTTCAGTGCATTATTTTTTTTCAGTATAAACTCTACCTATTAGTAATCATGAGAGAACATATACTTGTGAACTATCCCTAACTGTTTTTTTCCAGCTATCTTTTTAGCTCTTTCCTACTCTCTCATTCTCATTCTCTCCCTCCATCTCACTCTGTCATCTTTCCGTCATCCGATTTCCCCATACACACACACACACACACACACACACACACACACACACACACACACACACACAGACACACTCACCGCTGCTGCAGAAATATGGAGGAGGATAAAACACTGACAGCAGTCATCCATCATATCCTTTCAGACTTGAAGAGAGAAGGAGGGATTTAGCTGACTAATTAAAGACACAGGGAGGAGGGGAAGAGAGAGATGATAGGAAAGAAGTGTGTGAGGAAATGGCAGACAGCACAAATGCAGAGAAATGAGAAGGAGAAAGAGAGCGAGTTATCTGGAGAGAAAGAAAAACAGATAGACAAGAGAAAGAGAAAGAGGGCAAGTGAGACAAAATAGTAGATAAACAGAGAGGGAAAGAAGGGGACAAAGGCGGAGGAAAGCAGAAAGAGATAGGGAGAAAGAGAAAAACAGTGAGAGAGAGAGAGAGAGACAGAGAAAGAGAGAAAGGGAATGAGAGAGAGATAGAGACAGAGGGAAAAGGAGTGAGAGAGATGACTCATGAGAAAAACACCAAAAAGAAAAAAAAAAGTGCGAAAACACGCGAGCATTTGTTTTTAAGCCGAAGGGAAGAAAAGAGTGAGAAGAAGAAAAGCAGAGTGTGAATGTTTTCATATTTGGGAAATCAAGGAAAGAGCGAGCGAGCGAGAGAGAGAGTGATTGTGCATGTGTGTGCGTGCCTCAGGCTTGTGGTAGCGTCTTACACAAAAGTACACACACACACTCTTAATTTAATTCTGACCCAACGCTCACACCCTCCCCGCGCCAGCTGTACAGACACCCTGTGTTTGGCTCTACCTGCTCCAGTCATCCGCTGTGGCTGGTGTTTTTTCCACTTTGTTTTATCAGCCTTCCCTCTTTATGTTCCTCTCAGCATTTGCCATCATTGATGAAGAAAAACCGTCAAAATAACTGAAAAAAATCACTAAAATAACTACATTCCATCATTCAGTCTTTCTAATTCTCCTCTCCTTCTCGTTTTTCTTTTTTCTGCACTTCTCTAGTCCCTCTTTGATGTGGGCTGTGATTCAGCAGAATAATGGTAATTGCACCTGAAGATTTGAACTCATTTTTACGCTCACTACCTCTGCTGCAAATCATCCCCATCCATCCATACAGTGCTACTTATCCACTGGAATATGGACCATAAACTCTAATTAGTCAGCGCAATTAGGCCTAAAAGCATCAAAAAGGAGCAATAATACAGCTCTCATTTGTGCGTAGTATGAAATCATGATTGGATGATAATGTGGACTGTATTATTAGCGATAACTATAGTATGAGACATTGAGAGACACACAGGTCTGTTTTTGTCAATGTGTGTAGTCATAGTGTGTATAGGTATGTATGTATGTATGTGTGTATGTATACAAATGCCTGTTGCCTTGTACATTGTGTGTAGATTTCATGATAAATGGAGTAAAAGAAACGGCCGAAAATTACTTCAACCAATCCGTCCAATAGAGATTTTAAGGCAAAAAAATCAGATAACCAGTAATATCAGACAATAAGCGGTGCTTTCCTGCAGTGGCCTAGGCAGTAATAAATTATTGAGTAATAACCTGTGATGGCTCAGTGCGGTGATGTTAGATGCTTACATTTTCTTCACATTAATGGTTTGTTGCATAGCTGCTATTTATTGATGCTCTATGTGTAGATTTATGAGTTTATTTTGCCCATGAGACCTCAATATTGGCCAGTGATACCAGTTAACCAACGTATTGGCCAAGCCCTAATCTTAATCTCAGTCACTAAAAAGAAATGGTTTTACTTTTTCAGTTTAAAACAGTGAAACAGAACACTTTACAGAGTCATTTAGAATTGTAGGTTAGCTGTTTCTCTGTGGTTTTTCTATGCCGACAGAACATTTTTGTCCTGAAAATGTAGAAAAACCTACACGTGCATACACTCCTAATGTAGCAGCCTTGGAATTCTTCACTACTTGCAAGCAGAAACTAGCCAGTGGCAAATCCAGATTGTCTTTAAACGCTTCATTTGATTGGTTAGTGAGCCACAGAGACCCTGGAGCTTTATTATGATTTGCTGACTGTGAAGAGCAATAGGCCAATCAGGGCCAAGCATTGCACTCGAAGAGCCAATGAACTGGAAGCATTGCTCTGCGTGATGTAAAAGGAAGGGAAGTGCTTGGTGCTGTAAGCTCACTGATAAAGGGTTTGCACTTTAACATTCAGTGAGTTACTGAGCCAGCGTTTGTTACTTTTACACACACACCCACAAGCTCTCTTTTCTTCCCATTATTTCTCACACTGAATGAACCCTACACACACGCACAGTGCTTTCTCTTAAGC